AGCTTGCCGAGTCGTTGCTCGCATAGTGTGAATTACACCCCAAAAATTCATAAGATTCAATAATATAGATATTTTGCCGAGTCGATGCCTTGCCTGTGCCGAGTACGTGCCTTGCACGAAAGTGAGAATCGACCTTAAGCCGGCAAAAATGAAAGTGTTTCAATGTCCTCCATGAATGTTTCTAACACTTCCTTCTATAACCAACGTGCATCGTGCTATCGTGAACCACCAACACAGTCTTCTTAAAGACGCATTGTGAAAAAGCACGCAAACTTCTGGAAGCAGCAAATGCGGCGCTGCGACGCTCTGCTACATGTGAGAATTGACCTTAAGGCAAATTTCGCAATCCATGCAACCAATGCGGAGACATTTGAAATGACAACCGTTTTATTTTCATGTTTCTATATTTGCCGCTAGAGGGTACATACATGGTTAAGTAAAAAAACGATTTTTTTCCTCAAATATACTCAACAAACATGCATAAAAAATTCATGAATCGTAATCTTGTATGAATTTTGCATCATTTCGAAGCCTCAAATATTAGCTTACAAAATATGATAGGTGGGGGAAGGGGAACAGCTATTTAAAGAATTGAATTTAACTTATGTAACTTCGGATAAGGTTAATCGACTTTCACATAATTGCGCTTATTGGAAAGGGCCTAGGAAAATGCTCTCTTCATGTAATCAGATTGTGCATGATTATGATTATTTAATAAAAGAAACAATCATGGTAAATAACGCCAATTTGGATTAATATTGCAATTTAAATTTGTGAATGTGTGCATTTTCGCATTATCTCTGCTTAGGAAACATCAAAATGCGGTTTTCCATTTGAAATTTTCAAGAAGACCTTCAATATGTCAAACTCTACCACTCATCACATTTACTAAAAATTTGCTGTGGCTAGCACAGATATTACGAGACATGCGCGATTCTGCCCTTTTATGTCTAAGAATATGTGTACCAAATTTGGTTCCAATCGGTTCAGCCGTTTAGCCGGAAGTAGGAGTTTGGCACACTTGCGCATGCGCGATTCTCCCCAAAAGATTTTCAGCACTTCCTTTTATGTTGAGGAATATGTGTACACATTGTGGTTCCAATAGGTTCCATCGTTTAGCCGGAAATGAGTGTACAGACTGACCGACAGATCGACATCATTGAAATGTTGTTTGATTTGGATTCGTGGTGCTTCGGAACTTCGAAACGTGTATTTCCATAAAAAAGTGGGGGGGGGGGGGTTATTTTTTACTCCGATGCAATACCTCCCTTACTGACATGCGGGGGGTAAAAAGACTCTATTCATGGCAAATCTGATTACACAAAGAGGGCTCTTCCCAATAAGCACAATTATATGAAAATCGGTGAACTTAAACAGATTCATTTCCTTAAAGATATGTTCCCTTCCCCCACCCCATGTTTTATGAGCTAGAGTAATATTTGTTGCTTCAAAATGATGCAAAATTCATACAAGATTGCGATGCATGTTTGGTGGATATATTTTAGGAAAAAAATCCTTTTTTTACTTAACGATGAATCGTACGCAGTCTAGAAACTTGAAAATAATTTCCAGCGATTTCTTTTCCCAAACTTTGCAATGAAGGGTTCCATAAATATGGCCTGTGACATCATATTTAGGAACACTCTGTATATTGGAGGATTGATAAATACACATTACAATTATCCGCGCTCGTTCCAACAATTGCTGCTTTAAATGAGCACATAACAACATGCAAACCCAATTATGGATGGGCAATAAAAATATTAACCCACATGATTGAGGTTGGGTGAGTATTGAAGGAGTATTAAACCCAATAAACTTCGAATCACCCTTGTGATGTTTTGATTAAGTAAAAATGAGTTTCTCAAACTCGCAAATAATTTATTGATAATACAATAAACAAAAGAATAGTGGTTCTTTACAAACATAGATACCCTTATTGTGTAATTAGAATTACTCCCCGTTCACTCACGCATGTACACATTTAAATCACAAAAAAACAATACCTAGGTACACAAACTTGCCCAAAATATTGGACCATCGGTGGTTTTTACATAAACAAATATAAAATGGCAAGACGCCTATAAAACAGAAATTTTAACAACTTATCTGAGTACTTAATATCTCGCACGACCGCTGGTATTTTCCCAAAGGTTACCTGCAGTTCGACCGTATCCTAGCCGATAATAACGATAAGAACCAATGTGCTTTTCCGGGACTTTGGCTTTGATTGTCCTTGTGTGGCTGGTAGGTGATAGGACAGCTGGACGGAGATTTGATTTGTTCTCTCGTCGTTTCAAAAAAACCCAGGTGGGCCAACCTGCGGTAACTCCCGTGACTGGACCGACCCTGACTGGGCGATTATGCTTTAGCTCCTTGTTCTTCTTTTTTATTCGTAACCCGAGTAATGGGAAATGGAACTTCCTTTTTCAATCCACCCTCGATAATATGATGTGGGTATTTAACAATTTTCCACTAAAGGCAATAATTATAACTGTACCCAACGGCCTAAAAGATTAAGTTTATCGAACAAGCCCCACTTACTGAATATCGGCACAAACACCCCAAAGTAACCCTGAAGTAACAAATTAACAAAGGCGGTTTCCTTTCAATTTCAGCTCACAATGCTTTCTTCGGCTTTATTTCAATTTTTAACAAATGTGGGTAAGGAATAAGCTTACAGCGTTCGGTTAAACCACGTCATTCAATCTAATGCCGAACTTCTCGCGGAGAACCGCTTTGCTTATCGTACATGTAATACATGCAAGGGCAACCACTTGCCTCGATTTCACAAATTTTTAAAACACCTTACGAGGGAACAATTCAAAACCATTACGAAACGTTACACCCTCCACCTGAAGATCTGATGAAAAGGATTTTTGTAATTGTAAGAAAGGGCGCAATTTAACATGTATAACATGCAGCGGAGACAATTGTCAAATAGTGTTCCATATCGACAAGAGGAAGACAATGAGAAAGACGAGGATGTCTGCGGCTGATTACGGCTACTGAATCTGAATATATACTGAATATTTTTGTTAATTATTGTGCTTTTAAAATTTGAAGTAGGTATAGGTACGGACGGCGTCGTATAAAAATGGGTGGTATAGGTAACAATGTTTTTACATTGAAATGTAATTGTAAATCACTAAAAAGCATATGACAAAGACGCGTGGTCTTAAATAAATCTTCGTAAAACCAAAAGTAACAAATACTAATTCATGCAAATTACCATTCAGTAATAGAATTTTCCTAAGTTGCTTGCTAACATATTCATAGGCATCTTAACCATTTATGTTATTGTAATAAACAATGTTTGTACATAATAAATACTAAGATTTATGAGTTAATGCAGAATCCATAAAAGAAAAACAAAATAGATAATTGAATTTCTATATAATTGTGTTATTTTTATGCAGTTACATATAAATTTGAGTTTTCCATGTGAATACCAACGGAATGTTTCGCGCTGGTATATCCATTAGTTTGTGTGTAAAACCCAACAAAATTAAAATAATAATTGAAAACAGTTAGGCACCAATTTTGTTTTATGCTAATTTGACTTCCTTTGCAAAACATTTTACTGTAAATTACGAGAAAATTGTTATGAATGGCACTTTTCTTCAAGCTGTACTTTTAACAGTACGGTAGCTTACAAACATTGCCATGTTCTCGGCTTTACAAAAAGGAAAACGGCAGTAGAAGTTGGTGAATGAAAATTAATTTATTTTCGTAGTGTCCGTTATATTCTAATGCGAAATGTAATAAATAAAAAAATAAACGAATGACATATGCAAATTAATATTACTACAAGTCAATTCGTGTGCGTTAATAATTATTATCATTGTTATTGAGTCATATTCAAATTGTCAAGGATGAGATGCGTGGTTTATGTTCAAATGCCGCTATAATGGAGTCATTACTTTCAATAAATTAAACACCCATACAAAATCGTAGAAGATTAATAGTTCCGATTTGTGTGTTTTGGGTGGTAGCTGGTACAAACAATTAAGAACATCAATGCCGTAACTATAAAAGAATTATAGTTTGTAATTGAACCTTAATTAAGATGTCGTAATTATTAAAGTTATAAGTCGGCACAGTAATTCACGCACTATAAGAAAAGGGTTTTCATACCTAGTATTGCCTTTGGGCCGTTCTTTGATTTTTCCCGAGCGGCATTTTATTGGTTTTTTAGTTATGTTGCAAATATTTCTTCAAGCGCCGTTTTTCTGCTTCAATTCATGAAATGTTTTGATTACCTACTTCTTCTATAACACGCACTCTTATTGTGAACTAATGTCATTGAGTTGAACCGGATCAATTTTTAGTTCAAGATATTTTTTTAAACATTTTAATTAATTACCATAACTTAATTCGTCAATTTTCTCTTTATCGAGGTAATATTATATGTTAGGGTCACGTATTATTCTTAGAATTTTTCGCACATGTAATGGACATCTTCGGATCTGCATGAATATCTGTGGACACTTTCGGACGTCTTTGGGACATCTGTTATCTCTTTGGAAATTCGCTTACGGATACGAATTTACTCGACACCTACATATGTCCTTGGATAAGTGGGAATAGCAATCGCTGATGATAACCAGAAGTGTACAAATATTCAATGTAATTTCGTATTAATATATTTTGCTGGAGCACTTATCTTACCATCCGAAATCTGGTACAATATTTTAAATTTTTAAAATACACTGAAGGTAGACCTGCTTGTTTTCTGAATTCATCAAGGTGTAAATGTTGTCTCAATAAAGAGTTCTCATTAAAATTAATGAATGAAAAAATGTTTGTTGCATGACCCTGAGTATGCTTTTCCTCCCCGTGTTCATGGTAATATTTGATTGTTACTTTTACTGTTATAGCCTAAAAACGACTTTGAGGTAAATGTAAGGTAAATGCAGAATTTTGATCGTTTAAAACGGGATTTAGAAATGTTCCTCTGTACCTACAGCTAGGTACTATAGGGCAATAGTAAAAAAAAAGAATTTCTTTTTATTTTATTAACCCACATTAAAAATTTATAATAAGTATAATTTGTCAAACAAAAAAGTAATTATCTCTCCCATAAAAAACGTCTGCAGTCACAACCTGCAGGTTGTGGATCACAACTTGCCGGGTTCCCTTGAATCGCCTGTTGTGCTCGACATACGTTCCAAATGCTGCAGGAAAAGATACAACCCCCACTGATCTGAGCATCCGCGAAATTGAAGGCACACGCGATTAGTACTACCAAAACGGGCACTATTATACTACCCTAAGGTGGAAAAAAAAGAAACTTTTATATTTCTAAAGTACAAAAATTCTTACCTTCATATTAACGAGTTTATAATTCTGTGACAATCACAAACTAGGGAAACTTATGCCTCTGAATAATGATAGTTCTTCTTTTATACCTTCCTAAATCTTATCTATGACTTTATGCACTTATAATAATAGCATAAATCAGGGAAATTACGTTTTTTCGTATTTTGCGATAAGATATTAATGTTTCACTTATATGATGAAAGGGTTATTAAGTGAATATTACATTGTTGCAATTAATTGATAGAGTCCAATTTACTGTATGACTATACTCGTTATTATTGCGTACTAAATAAAGTGGAGAAAAGTCCTTCTGTGCTCATGATCATATTTATAAAAATTTGCCATGGCTAGCACAGATACCACCCGCACATCTTCGCATACGCGATTCTGTCCTTTTATGTCTAAAAATATGTGTATCCAATTTGGTTCCAATCGGTTCAGCCGTTTAGCCGGAAATGAGAGTAGAGACGGATTGACAGACAGACCAACATACCGACATAATCGAAATTTTGTTTGATTCAGATTCATATACAGAAAGGTGAACCACCGCGCGGGTTTAAACTGCGACAGATAAATTAATCTACGTCACTGACAGACTAACTTACAAACAAATCTGTACGTTCAAACCGCGTTATTCCAAACCGGCGGATCAACCTCTCTGTGTATGTCCAGCTATTTTTAGACCCCCGTGAAGTTGGCCGCACTCGCAGAAAATATCAGGTTGCTGGCTATTGGAATCGTTTGTTTAGCTATTTCCAACGTTTGTTTACCTTCTTCCCCCCCTTTTTAAGATCCCATTTGGGTCCGGCGTTTTTGAAAAAAAGTAGTGCTTATATTCATCATATCATGGATGCCGGCACCATAATTTTTGCCTAATAGATCTGGTTATTGAAATTTAAAAGGCAGATTGCTATTTTTAGCGTATTCATGTTTCGAAAGTGCTATTATGGCCACTTTCTCCGTCCGTCCCTCCGTTCGTCTATTGCCGAGGCCTTAACTACTCCTACAGTTTCAAGATAGCTAGTACGTTCTTTTTTGCATTCGGTAGCTTATAGCCCTGCCACCCCAACCAAGAAAAATCTTGATTATTAATGTGCACATGCGCAGAGAAAAGCACATCCGAATGGAACGCTCATACAGTAATGGTAACAAATTATCTCTCAGATATAACCGTCAAGCAATGTTAACTCTCTTATTCATTGGGATATTTTTCTGAAATTTAACCACATATGCTTTTGTTAAAGGCAAACAGCGTATCGAATATTGTAAAAATTAGATGTGCGCATGCGCAAACGACGCAATTCCAACGTTCTTATTTACGGAGAAATTTATTTGAAGTTTTAACTGTAGATGCTTCTAGTAAAGAAAAACAGCGGATATAGCTATTAGCTATATAATTATATATTGCCCTTCTGGAAAGTACCGATCAATGTATGTAAAATACGCAAACCTTTTTTTATTTTTTTTAAATTGTAAAATTAGTTGGATTACATTTTGCTCCTTTAGTTCAATGCAGAGATGAGAGAAAAGAAAATGGCTCATACAAGGGACCTGAAATCAAATATGACCTATTCATTGCTTTGATTACACGAAATGTTAAAGCGTGAGACAAATATCTTTTGATCAATATTTTTGTATGTAAAAAAATGTATACTTACTTTAGTATCAGGAACCAACCGATAAGTTTATCCTAAACTTGGTTGGACCTCTAACATTTGGGTATGATTAATAAAAATTTCAAACATTTCAAACATTATTATTATTATGATAACAATACTTCTTATCTCCATTGACCAGATTTCCCTACATTTTAACACGCAATGTCACGTTTTACAATTAAATACATAAATTTAACTAATGAACTGGTTGATGCGGCAGCAAAACGTGCAACAAGGGGAACCCGAGTAGACGTGCAGGACCTAAGACCCACGCATCTTAAAGCAGCCCTGAGGCTGGCCGTGGGAAGGACGGCGAAATGGATTCCGCCACTTAAGCTAACACGAACTGAACGCGTGAAAATACAAAGGCTGCGGATAGGACATACTGGACTCACGCATTCTTATATACTTCGCGGAGAACCTCGGATAACGGTCGTCCATATCGTATGCACGTGTCCAAATTTTGTCCAAACAAGCACAGCATTACAAATATCACCAGACCTACGGCAGAACTTGCGAGAGCCTACGAGAGTAAGAAGAGTGTTAGATTTTCTGAAAGGAAATAACTTATTCAACATGATTTAACATATTATACATACCTAGAGTAGTGATGATTGGCCAATGACCAAGATGTTGACGCCTTGGAAAAAAAAAACAACTCACAAAGACGAAAACATTTGAACAAGAATTACGTAATTACAAAACTTTTAAAAAATAAAACAACACTGAGACACAGATTTAAATACAATAACCAACTGTGTGTTTATTGGTAAATAATTCCCCAGATTTACATTTATTAAATTGAAATATTGTCATATACAGAATGTCCTGTCATTATTTTCGGTGTTGAGACCGGAATAACGTCTACGTGCTGTAAAATACCTAGCATCGCTCTTTAGAACTTGTTGTGTTCCATGACAATGTCTGCGTACATTTTCTCTACAGAAAGACAGTAGATAAGCGTTCATTCAAAGACAGCATTTATTTATCCATTTGTATTAGGAAACGTTCAAAAGATGTGTATCGTTATCCTTACGAATAAAATGTCTGAATGTTCATTTACCCGTTCCCATGCCAGTTCCTATGTTTCTCAAGTTACTTTTCTACAAGCAATTTTTTCCGTTGTCCATTGCATTTTAACATAGCGATTCTGATAAACACTGTTTAACAAAATTATTACCTTGCCATTAAAATAATTGAGTCGGAACCACTTTTCAACATTTACAGCAAATACAGAAGGCCGAAGCCATATTTCGTTTTGCACGATACGTCATCCTAATTCGATACCCTTCATAATGTAATATTTTTTAACAAAAGCGATTCCGAATTAAATCCAGTTCAAGAAGGCGGCCTTTTTAAAACATGAAAAATTCTCATACAACAAACTATTAATAACTTTGAAAGTTGGCTATTAATATATATTTGCGGTTTCTCTTGCCCAAACTGTAGAAAGATAAATAATAGACGTGAAAAAAAGAAATTTCACGCATTTGGATTGCATCTGAGTGAATCGTATGGGTTTTCTCAGCATGGTGCCGTCACATCTTTACCAAACCCTTGAAAACGAAATTATTTTATTCAATATTGTATTTTACCACCCAAACTGTAGCCGTTTTTCTTGCAACGAATGCCGCGATTATTTATTCTCAAAAGTGTTAGTAACTAGAGACAGTGCTCCTTGTTTTTTTACAGTTATTGAAATGAACCTATTTATACTAGATCATGGTATATCCTTGGGCACATTAATATCTTTAGCAAAAAATCTAATTAAGATAATGGAAGCACCGGTTTTAAAAATTAAGATATTTATTTAACTTTTTATGTTATTATTAAGGTAATGGGAATCTTGACAATTTTTAAATGTCGTAATTAATAGCCTAAAATATGACACCATTATCTTAACCATTTCAGGGGTTTTGTAATATCTAATTTGAAGATAAATAGTTAAGTACTAAAATTTGCGTATGTAATATATGACTGTTATTATTTTTAATTTAATTTTTTCAATTTTTCTCAAATTAGATCCTAATTAATTAACATCATTTGACGTTTTATGTGTTATAGTTTATAATCCAATTACTTTTAATTAAAATGTCTGCTTAATTTATACGAAGATTATGACAGAGCTCATTATATTGTCGCGATGTCAATTTAATGTAGGTATCAGAATGTTTAATGGAGATTCACTAATAAACAAATCAAAGCCAGTAGCTTTATTTGTCGTAATCATTGTATTTGCATACTTATCACATACATTTGTAAAAACTATTTACATTATTTATTTTGACTTTTCTATCTTTAAAATGGTAAATTTTTTTGTTAGCCTTGCTAACTTCTGCACGTAGCCGTGAACTTTAACAGAAATTAATTTCCGATTGCGATGGGATAAAACCGCAGAAACTCATTACGAAATTGCGATACTATGAATTAACAAGAATATTCAAATAATAAAGGTCGTACTTTAGCCAATCTTTCTCTCATCTTCATTAACGACCTACTGAAATGTGATGCTGAATGTAATTATGTTGTTTTCGTTAGCGCTAGACAATGCATTATCTCAGCTCAGGTAAATTAGCGATTAATGTTAACAAAGCGCAACACTTATGATTTACTGTAAAGGAAAACGTGAAACGTAATAAACTTTTACTGTGGTAGGTCATATAAGAATACATCTTCATCTTCATAGATATCCGCACTTTGTCAAAAACCACAACTGGACAAATTTTCTATAGTTTTACCGTCTTGGTAATGGATAAACTAACTGGAGGGAGAAATGTTTTTTTCCCATTTAGGTACGTTGTATCGCAAATTTTTGTACGTATTTATGTATATCCCAAACTGCTTATGTTCTGATTCAGACAAAATTAATGATCCTTGGTTATCTCTCCCATGGCCTAATTAGGCTATGATTTCACCCTACAAATGTAGCAAGCCGAATACACCTAGTTATTTTAACTTACCTTCAAAGTTGTAAATCGATTTCTAGTTTGTGTCTTATTTGCCTTGGTACAGTTAAGGGTTTAGCGATGAATGGTTTTTTTCTTTGACCGCTATCACTTACCTCTACTTCTTCACACTTAGTCTACCAAGAACGGGCACTCTGTATATTTTGGGCTTAGAATCATTTGATATACCTACCGTCAATTTTCCTCTACAAAATCCACTGATATATCATTTTCAACGTGCGCTCTCTAAACTAGGAGCTAAATTGTGCACGAGTATGACCAATAAAACTATAAGTGTTATGCTATGACCTCCAATAAATATAATAAATATATATTGCTGTTGATTGAGGTTTGTTGCCCAACGGATGGCTCGTCTTTGATTTAAATAAATTGAATGTAGGCTATTATTAGATAGCAATGCGAAATTATTGCTTTTATTTAAATTCATCAGACCTTGTAAAATGATAAATTTGCAGGTGTGTTTTATGGTGTACAATTTTCTATCT